ATGGTAGGCTTCTTCAAACATGTCTACAGCCATATTATTAAACGTAATTGTCCAAGTGGGGGTCTCTAATTTCATATTTTCGGGGCCATATTCAAAACATATTTTTCCATAAAAACATAATTATTTGGGGACCATGGCTGCGTGGCTGATGATTACATGTTAACATTAGTCCAGCAAGGCCATGTGCATTGGCATGAAAAGTGAGTTTGTTTGTGTGCGCGCGTCCTCGGCCAGCGTCCTGGCCCCATCGGGAGTGAAGCGCCAGTAATCTTGAGGCGAGCCATGGATCTGGCTGAAGAGTGGCGCAGACCAGGCCAGCAGCCCACCTGGATGCTAATCCCTACGTCACGGGCCTTTAAAAGGAAAGCTACCTGCCCGGCACTGCCCCTGCAATGCCTGGACCCAGGAGCCGGAAAAGCTGCTTCATTGCCAGCCAGGGCTTCAACAAGTGCTCAAACACCTGCGAACAAACCACTATTCCGGTGGAGTTCTCAGGGACCACGTTGTCGGCGATGTGAATGTCAAGAAAATAATCTCGCTTGCCACTGTCCGTGTGTACACGGATGTCAGCATGCCCATCGCCGAAATAAGTAAGGACATCAGTCATGTCACAGTGCTTGGCAAAGAAAAACCGGCTGGATGCACCGGAGTCCCATTCCAAACAACGCCGTAGCCTGCACTACAGCAAGCATGTTTTGACAAACATCTTCTTGCTAACTGAAGTCTTGGATTACTTCAAGGCTTCCCCTACAGAATTTGCAAATGGCAACCGGTCGCGTTTACAATCTCATCAATTTCTTGATCTTTCCTAGAAGAATACTTGCCATTTCTGAGCGGCAGCCCTTGTGGGCCCTCTTCCCGTGGAATCTGATCGGGCGAGATCTTCTTGGAAACGTGGCGGAGGAATTTGGCCATCTGCAAGCGCTCGAAGGTGTGCTCGTGTCCGGCAGGATGGGCGCCTCGATTCTCTGCACGCATCTTCCAAATGACGCCAATGAGGTGATCTTCCATGTCCACAAACCAGGGATGGCGTAGTGGAAGAATCCCTGCATCCCAGGAGGCCTGATAGAACCTGGCAAAGCCCTCCTTGGCACAATCCATTGGAGACAGGCATCGGAATCGACCTCTCCCAGCTTGTTGTTCTGTAAAATTGGACCCTAGTGCTTGTAGGAACAATGCAAACTCCTCATCGCTGAAGTCCAAGAACTTCCTGAGATGGTTGGGGTCTGCTGCGGCAACATCCTTGGTGCCTGGAACTTGCTGGCAGCAAATCTCTGAAGTGAAGTCACCACCCCAGCATCCAGACCAATTCATGTCGCAGCAGACCAGATACCAAGCTTCAGGGCGCCCACCCATGCTTTTCCAACAGTCCAAATCTGGGCTTTCTGCCTTATCTTGGCCGGCAACCCCCATGTCAAAGTGGTAAGGCTCTTCCTGGCTTGTGGCATTTCTGTATGATCGCCAACGCGCTGGCGTCATGGGCCAAACCACAGTCATCGTTGCTAGCGCCTCCGTGTGTGCGAATGATTCCGTGAAGTCCTGTCAGGGCTTCGATTCAAGACAGCTTCCGAACTCTCGCCCTCGTTACCGAGGGCAAAGCCACTGCCTCCATGTCAAACATGTTTTGCATCTCTGGATTTTCTGCTGCACCTCAGCAGATGCGTACTCCAGGTCTTCAAGAAGCTGCACCCACTGGCCCAGGGCCACATCTGCCGGAAGATCTACCTTCAGCGAAGACATTCACTCCTTTTTGAGGAACTCTTCCCATGTAAGACCCTAGCACGAAAACACTACTTCGACATCATGTTCCATGGTTGTCCATTTGGGCATGCTGTGGGCTTCACTCCTACAGTACGCCACCCAAACCCAAGGTTTTCAGCAAGTCGTGAGCAGTTTCTCGGTCTCTTATACAAGCCCCGGCTTCCCCTGCCTGTGACAGGCCACCAGCCTTCTCTGCCATTTCTGCCAGAAAGCGCGCCACATCGGCGGAAAGAACGATGCCCAAACCGTGGGCAAAGACCGGCGCTCGACGACGCCAGAGATAGCCCCTCTTCGGCCCTGAGAACAGAGACTCCTGAACTCGCAACTCTTTTCAAACATGCAGATGAGTATAAGCCTGTGAACCTTAAAGGTGCAGCATGCGGCCCAGCATCATCCAGAAGCATACCACGCATCAGCCTCTCTAGACGTTTGAATCTACAGTGTGCATCGTGGTTTTGTTCATAAAGCTGGTCTTGTTACAGTCTCGAACTGTGAGCAACAACAGTGGACGAAACGAATCCCCAATTTCAAAAGAAGAAATTGTGGGATGCCTCAACAGTTGCTTGTGTTACAGTTGCTCCCTGCTTTCTACATGGAAGCGAGCACTTGACAGCTCGGGATGTCCCGCCTGTGTCTTGGCCAAGTGGGTATCTGAGCCATGAGCCGTGGCACGTTGACGTAGGAACGGTGATCCAAGAGAAGAACGAAGTCCACTCCCATCCATCGCTCTTCAACCAAGCGCCAGGCCTCCTCATAGCGGTAGCAGCCACGGTGCCCACCGCGCTCGTCCTCTAGCGTCCTGTGTGTACTCCGCGTAGGCCGAGCCTTTGCAGCTTGGCTTTGACGAGGGATCCGAGCAGGACCCAGCGTTACCAGGTCTCTGCGCAGCAGGGTCTCTCGAAGTGCTAAGTGCAAGCTCCAGTCCGCAGGCAACTGAGCCATAACGAAGAGCCACTCGAAACTGGATTTGAAGTCAAAGTTGGACTTGGCACGCCTCAAGGCAGCTCGCAAGTGCGAGCGCAGTCGGAAATCTTGCCAACGAGAGCCAAATATCAAAATTGCTAGTTTCAGATCACGTGAGTGCTTCGCTTCTCGTTCTTTCTTCTGTTCTTGCCGCGATTGCTCCAGTCTCGCCAATCCTTCAGCTGTTACCTCCTGCATCTCCTCCGCCGCTTCTCCCACAAGCTCCGTCGCCGAAGGCTCCAAGGCATCTGAAAGAGCGCACGCATGGGCTAAAGGCTTCACATCACCGCAGATGTGGCACTGCTGCTTGTCAAAAGTTCTCCAGCGTTCCGGCGTCATGCGATGGACAATGATAGCATCTTTTTGACATGATCGCGCGAACAGGCCTTTGAATTCATGGTGGTCATGAAACCATGGATGGTAATGCAGGAACCGCACATCTTCGACATTACGCAGCCACATCCCGACGAGCATGTCGTCATTGCCTCGCAACTTAAAAGATAAGCCAAGATCTGCCAGAAGCTCGGCGAGGTCCCGCGACACGATGAAACCCAGACCATGTGCAAAAATTGGGAGCTTCGACGGCGAACCCAGGTACAGATTCACGCTCCTGGAAGATCAGACTAATTCTGTGAGGATCATGGATGATCATGCTACAAGGCTTTCAACTGTTTTTCCATACTTTCCGCCGAGCAGCGTCTCTTGAACGACACGGCTTTTCTCTTTGTCAAATCGTTGTGGGACCGTGTCAATCATGTTTCCAACATAAACCTTTCTTGGGGGCAGCATCTGCAATAATTCCATAGCGTTGGTGAGAGAAATGAAGTTATCATCATCTGCCACCATCAGGTAATCGTATGAAAACACATGCCGGAGTCGACGCAAAGCCACCAGCAACTTCCACAACTCTGGGTTGGCCTCTTGGGGTCTGTGAGCATTGCACGGTCGCTGCTTGCAAATTAGCTGCATTGCTCGCGACAAGCTTATTATTGACCCAGGCCTCGGGCAAGACATAAGCATCGCCTATGTGCCGATAATGGATCTCGTCAGCACCGCCCACCAGCAACAGGTCCCTGAACACCTGCGGGGCATTTTTTTTAATCCGTGCAGAGGCTGAAGCATGTGCACTCAAGTCGCCACAAGCAGATACAGTCGTCTGATAAACAAACCCATAATCAAACGGACCTCCTTACCACAGCCACCATCCACTCCTGAAAAAGTACTACTGGTATCCTAAACGCTGTATTATGTACTTAGAGGCAAAACATGGCAAAACCGAGGGGAACGGCGCAGAGGGAGAACGCCCGGCAGCCACTGACGCAGTCTGCAGGCAGCCACAATGCCAAGACCAAGACAAAGTTAGTCAAAGGCAGGGGGGCTTTGACGAATTTCGTGGAAGGGCCGCAAGGTCTTTGCGAACCGAGACCATCAAAAGTCTTTCCTTGCCTCCCAGTTGCCTGTTGTTTCTTGCAAGCTGACTTATCTTTACATGCTGCTTTGCGAGACTGCAACAGCTGCTGCAGTGCAAAGAGACCGTATTTGAGGCATGCTGTCCGCAATTCCAGTCTTGGCCCAGCATGGGGGCACCCTGCAAAAAAAAAACGCAGAGTTCTAAAGATCCACCACACAGGTGACGCGAGCACATCATAGCGCACTTGCAGCATAGCCAGCCAGGCTCAGCACACCCGTTGACGCTTTTCTGACTGGCCGCTGCTGGAGCCGTCTAGTTGCAAAACACTTTCTGGAACCAACCCTATTGCCAAAGTCAAGCCGCTTGCGTATTTTCCTGCAGTTTGCTCATGGATGAAAGCCTGGTGCTGCTTCCCGCAAACGCCTCCCCACAGACGCCTCCCCGCAGACGCACAGCTTCAGACAGCGATTGCTGAGGGGTACATCGAGTTTGCGCACTTTATGATTCTAGCTCCCTTGTGGAAGCGCTAGCAACCCAATTTGAGAAGACTTGAAAAGATGACAGCCTGACATGTCCTGATCAAGGCCGGTGGCAGCATACGTGCCCCAGCCTACCGCGCTTCAACACACAACAAGCTCGACTGTTGCACTGAATTTGTGCATAATTTTGTTGAGACCTCATATTTCAAATATTAAGTGTTGGCAAGGGAGCAAAGGCTCCCGCATGCACAGACTAGTCTAGCTCGTGTCGGGCATACGTGTGATGTCTCGATGTAGGAGTCAGACTGCATCACTTGTGCTGAGAAGCGCAGCATGCAAAGTGCCTGAGTAGCGATTGAAAAGCGGCGGCTAGTTCGGGCGAGTGCCCCAATTATCCTGCGGGGGAAAGCTACTTGCAACCCCTCCACATCGAGAGATACACAGGGCTTGGGGCATGTTGCAGGAAGAACGAAGCTGTGTGCAAAGCTTCATTGCCTGGCCTCTGCTTCTCGCAGTGCTTTGCGAAAGAAGGGATGGTTCGCCTGATACTCTTGCGGCAAGTCTCCCAGGAGGAAGCGCCAAACCACCTCATTTCCGTGGCCTCCAAGTCCACGCCGGCACCACGTGAGCCCTTGGCGAAGTAGCTGCCGCCGCTGGAAATTGGGCCATATGGTGGTCACCAGCACCAGCAGCCGCAGCTTCAACCTGGGACACAACTATTGGCAAACCGCAACATAAGTTTAACTCGCTTTGGCGCTGGCTCTCCCAAACGTATCTCAGACACTCTCTATGATTGGGCCCTGCCCTCTCCTCCAACGACACCGGTCGTGTTAGGGGCATTTGCCAATGCAACTCCGTTCCCCTGCAGGGAAACGCTACTTCTGCCAGCTGCCTCTCTCAAAACTTAAATTAGAGTCCGACTGTGCCCTGCCTGTCGCGAATGAAAGCGCTAAGTAAAATATTTCCTCTTGAAAAACTTGCTTTCGCAAGGGCATCCAAACAATCAAGTGCAACTCAGCTTCGGCTGCTGGTGCTTGATCTCACCTGCCTTCAGCGTCTGTTGGGCTGCACGGTGGTGCTGACTGCCATCAAATCGCCCAACATGAAAGTCAGCAAGGCATTCGCTGGGCAGTTGATCCTGGCACCAGCCAGCTTCGTCCGGTTCCAGGTCCTCCGCCCGCAGATCTTGCAAGAGCCAGTCGTCGCCCGAACACAGGAATGGCAGCACGAGCGCTCGCCAGGCTGCCCACCCAAAATTCCCCATGGCTGAAACCCCTTCCCAGATGGATCCATGGATGGTGGCTTGTCTGTGGCATAGTCAGAAATCATAAATGATTTATCAGGATTGGATGTAAGACACCCGCTACCCGCAGCTCTCAAGACAAGGTATCAGCTTGCTTTTTACGGATCTGTAGGCCGAGGAGTTGTTTTATTACAGAACCACCCCTTTACGAATCCCCCCCTGACGACAAACCATAGGCTCGCAATTGAAGATCGAATTCAGAATCCTAATTCTGAGGATTCTCTTTTATGACCAGGGGAATTCTATAATTGCCGACCCCATGAAATAACGATGCAACAAGTAGAAAAGTAGTACAAGCATTACGTACAAGGTGGGCATGGTTTGAAATTGAAATCAAATTAAGGTCCTCTTCTGCTCCTCCCTCCCACACTCCTACTCTCACTCTTCTTCTTCCTCCTCTTTATTGCGACCCCCGATTTTGCAGACCTTCGTTTTGAGATTGGACCGCCCGGAACTGTGGGGGAGGGGGGTTGTTGCAATGACCCCAGCACGAATCATCTTCACAGCACAGAAATGCTTATCAAACCCCCCTTTTTGCGATGAGCAGTGAGTCGCTTTGCGTTGCTACCGCAATCTGTCGCACATATGCCTTGAAGCGTCTCAAAGCACCATGCAATCGTGATGCATTGCACCCACCGCCTTGTGGCAGTCTAAGAGCGGTGGACCGAAAGGACGGCCTCAATGGCTGTTGCTCACGTGGACTCGGCTGCCCAAGCTCCAGTCTTGCCGTAAGTCCGGGACACCGTTGCGGAAATGTTTGGCGAAGACCTTAATCGAAAATCTGCAGCAACTGGAATTTGCATGCTTAGAAAGAACCTTGGAGATCTCTTGCAACGGCAGTGCGAGAGTCTCCTGGCATGTTGCCGCTTCATTCAAGTAAGGGCAGCTCCGGCAAGCTATGAATGCTTCAGGAACGAATAGCGGACTTTCTGTGGAGATGTTTTATGTAGAAAGTTAATTATCCCACGCAAAAGGTTGCCGTGTGTTGCAAGACTGGGCCAGATGAAGCATCAGCCGTCTCACGACAAGTTCTCCATGCTGAGCAGGAATCTTTGCAAACCCCTTTAGTTGAACTATTCCTGGCAGTATCTCCGAAGACTATAAGAAACGCACCAGCTTCACTCGTCAGACAGGGCGATCAGGTGAAGAACGTGCCAAACTGTCCCAGGTTCCAGCCGGTAAGTGCAGCATGCATTTTCTGAAATCCATTCATCGCCAATACTCCCAGTCATCGCAATGCACTACCGTTCCCCGCAGCGCCTGATCAATCTTCACAATGAGGTCTCCCTCAAGCAGGCCTTGACCTGCATGACGTTTTCACGTTCCATGTCTTCAGCGACCAAGTGTCTCCCAGTGAGCCCCGCAAGCACCTGGTTCATCTTGCACTTTCCTGCAGGCTGGGCTTGTAGAACTGAGAAGCAAGTCCTGGCAAGAGCCCAGCCGGACTCGCATGCCACAGAACGGCCTCCGGGCTCAGACGCTCATTTTGCTCGCTCTTTGCCACTTTGCGTTTGTGCTTAACTTGGGCTGCTGCTCCGGCTGCAAGTCCAGACCGGCTTTGCCCTGGGCTGCAACAATACCCGACTTGGTGAGAAACATTTTCTCCGATGCTGCCTAGTCACCTGGAAAACTTTCAGGGACACCGCAACGACCTGGCTTTCGACCTTCCCTGTCCGGGCCATGCCCCAGCAAGGGATTTCCACAAGTAGTCGAACCGGTGTTTGCCGCCTTCTGGACTTGCTTCGGGCTCTTTGGCCTTGTCACAGTTACCATGAGGATTTACCACATCTTTCTATCTTCGCACCATCCACCCGGCGAAACATGAGAGCAAACCATATTAGGTACGGTCTAAGTTCCTCGTACATTGGACTTCGGTGCGTGGCCCATCGTTTTCCAAGCTTTGGTGGTAGGCCGTTTTCTCTCAGTACAACTTTAGCCGTACTGGAACGGCCGTCTCCGCCAACCGGATGGATTTTCGTTCTCTAGTAGCATTAGTTTAGCGCTCGAACGGCCGTCTCCGGCAACTGCATGGATCTTCCTTCTCTGGTAATACAACTTAGTACTGGAACGGCCGCCTCCGGCAACCGGGTGGATTCGTTCTGGTAGCAATACAACTTTAGTACCGTATCGGCCGTCTCCGGCAACCGGTTGGATTTTCATTCTCTGGTACTACAACTTCAGTACTTTGAAGGCCGTCTCCGGCAATCGGATGGATTTTTGTTCTCTGGTAGTACAACTTTAGTACCAGAATGTTTTTTGAAATTTCGACCTATCGTTTTTGGTGAGCGGCCTATCGTTTTCCAACCCAAAATGCTGTTTCCAAATCTTCGTGTTGGTCCCCTTATAACCCTAGACCTGGATAAAAAAAGACCGCGCTTCGTTTACTGACCATGTCGGAGCCTGGACCGGACAAACTAACTGTAGAGGTGCATTGGATAAGGTGACCATTCCGCGGGTCTGCACATGGGGTCTGTCCAAGCTTCTGACATGAATTTATATCCAGGATCAAGTCACATGCAATTTACGTGCATTGGGCTGTGCACCAGTGCGTTCCTCAGCAAGCTAACATGACCACCGGCGGTCACGGTCAACATGGCCGCGTGATGTTCTTACTTTGCGACCCGCGGCGGCCATTATAGGTTCAACACGACAGGGCTCGTGCCAGCTCGCGCAGTCTATCATTGTTCAAGCTGGGCAACCGAAGGGGCCATGAGGGCAGATGCACAGGAGCTTTACAAGGGCTGCCATGAGGTGCATTTCGCGCGCTGTATCATATGGGGGTCAAGATGGTCTCACTATATTGCAGACTTATCTTAGGGGGTATAGGTTTTCCCAGCTACCGTAGTCGCTCAGTCATGCCCAATTCATAAGTGTTAGTGGGTAAAAACTCTGTACCCTAGCCAAAAGTCTCAGTAAGACAATCGCGCGGCCATGGTCCTTTCCTTCGCAAGACTTCGATGGGCCAGACGCTCGCGATCATGCTGTTCGCGACTACTGAATTCCCTATAGTACCTCGCGGCCAGTGACACATGACCTAGAGCACCTAGATTAACATAGGGCTGAGGAATGGGATCCCAACCTCCAAAGACTCAATGGGGGAAAAAGAACTTGCTATACTTCACCAAGCTCACATCCATTAGTGGAATGAACTTGAAAAGCACGTTCGGAAGGGTACCCTCGGCTAATTTTACTGGACCCTCCAAGACGATCTGCCATGCGGGGCGCTCATGAGGACTGCTGCCCTGGCCTCTTGCAGAGGGTAGCCTGGCAGCAGCGGCACGCGGTGGCTCTCTAAACGCAAGACACGAGCGACAAACCCGCAAACACAACTGTTGCTGTGGCAAGGGCTGCAGCCCTGTGCCTTGTCGAACTGGTAGAGGCTGCCTCGGCCAGAGATTGACAGTATTTGACAGTCATGAAGCGTCCACTGACCCACTGGACATGATTAGCTAGGCCTTTAGCAAAGCACTCCTCTTTTGGCGGAAAGCATAAGCATCTGGGTGCTGTACAGGATCTGCAGCAGCGCGCTGCGGGCAACCTGAATGCCAAGTCCCTTGATGGTTGCCATCTGGGTCTGTGCACAGCGGCCTGTCTGTCCACATTCTTGGACCATGTCACCTCCACCTTTCACGTCACGCATGAGCACATGCAACAGCACTGCAATCTTGCCTGCCGCTTCTTGAGATGGGCTGAAACCTTGAACGTGGTCATGAACTTCCTGAGGAAAGCAAATATGCAAGCACACAGGCAAAACTGCTAAGATTAGCTTGGCATCTGCAGCTCGCGTCGAAGTTCAGTCACGTTGGAGGGTTCGCGATCCAAATGAAAGCACTCGACGTCACCCTGCCATCTCGGACTTGCCAAGCTTGCAACATCTGGCAACTCCAAGCAGTCTAAACTTGCCAATGGCTTTGCCGAGCTACTGCACGTAAAATCAAATCCGAACTCTCAACTGCCATACATCTTGCGAAAGGGAGGCCTCTGGCCCACTTGGCCTCAGCGCCCTTGGTCAGCTGTGCAACACTTGCGGCCCTTTGCTGGTTACTCAACCTGGTGCTGCTTAATGAGTGGTCATCGCTACTCCCGCATGTTGGCGACCAAGATGCGAGGTTAGCCGCATGTCCATTGTGACCCAGCTGTTCTTGAGGCCTGGCCCGAGTCAGTCCAACTCATCATCCTATCACTTCATGTGCAGCCAGGGAGCAATCGTCTAGGCCAAGCCGGTCCTGCGTCCGACTAATGGCCGAAGTCATGAGTCAGTGAGCATTCAACTTTCAACCATTGCACTTTCGAACGAATTACAATGAGTGGAATCACTGCCTGTAATTGAAAGAATCAACATGCCGAAAAGTATCGCGTCCAATGGGGCAGCCACGATCTCCTACTGATCTTCCAACCGCCTGACGCAGACGAGTCCTCCGGACGTACTTGGATCAATGCCCGGATCAGTTCCCTGGCCTCACATGTTACATGCTGGGACCTAGTGCCCCTTTTCGGGCTTCAACTTGTTCGTGGGGTTGCACGAACATTTGATAGGCTCGATGGCCTCTCGGCCGGTGGAGGCCTGGTGGAACTTGAAACTTGCCTCGCAAAGAAGGAAAGTGTTCCATAATTTTGCGATTCACTCAAGCTGCACCTGCTTGATCTGCTCCTCACTGTTGAAAGGATAAACGCCTTCCAGCATCACCTTTTCGGCTCAAAGATCGTTTCTCCTGAAAGATCAGGTATCTGAGGCTGCGACATAGAGCACGACCCCAAGACTCCAAAGCTGGCACAGGCACAGGGTGTGATACTATCAAGTCTGTAACACAGAGTCACGGGCTCCTGCTCGCTTGCAAATGGCTTATCGGCTTATTCTGATGGATAGATGGAGAAATATGGAGAACAAGGACTTACTTCAGCTGACACTTCGAGCCCCCCGACATCCACGCGCTCATCGTATCCTCTGGCACAAACACCAGCATCCGAGACCTAGCATCCCAGGATAGACATCTAGCTTCTTCACCGTGTCTGGCTGCACGCCTCTGGCGCCCAGTACTGGGGAGTCCCAACCTGCAGGATTGGAACCAGTTCCCCTTCTTTTGGCATGGTTCCCGCGGCTTACACACACGCCTGGGTGAGAGCGGTGCTGTAACCGTCGTCCACCAACTGGGAAGCACACTGAGAGTTGAAAGGAGGCACTTGCTGGCAACTACAATCGAAACCTTGGCATAGCCAAAGTCGGTGATCTTCACTTCCAACCTATGCGGCTGCTGAGGAATCTGAGGACTTGCAGCCTTGCGTGTGACATTACAAGCCCACGACGCCCTGGATCGGCCACCTCTGGAGGCCTGCATACCAAAAGCCTCCTGGGCTCTTGCGCGCAATGTGCCTGGCCTTGCGGTCCACAAGGATGTTCTCGGGCCTTATGCCATGCCACGACTCCTCTACCAGGCTTAGTTTTTATGGCCCGTGCAGGTGCAAAGAATTTGAGAAGTTGCAGGAATATGCGACACCAGTGTACCAGTATGATGGCAATCAAATGTCTGTCGCATTCTGGGTCGAGCACTTCAAGTCTCTGTGCACGACGCCCTGCACGCACACAACGCCACTGGGCAAGTGCGCTGCAGGCATGGCATAAGCCATGTGACGTGCCATGAACGAGAGGGTCAACAGAAATGAGGCAGGCCGGAGATACTCAATACATTCTTTAGGCTCTCCTGGAAGCAACACAAAGTTGACGCGGCGAGGAGGTGGCTTGTGCAGCCACTGAGAATTGCACAATGCGGAGCATGAATATTTTGATCATAAGAGACAAGGCAAGGTCTTGTTTGTTGCGACCCTGCCCTCGCCTTTGAGTGGATGTATCTCAACCTTGGAGAACCGCAAGTGCAACTTAGACAGGACATGACAGGACTGGGCAGGCGCTTAGGCAAGGGCGCATCTGCCAACTGCAAGAAAACATGCCGTGCCTCTCAGTCTCTGGCTGCTCATGCTCCCCCTTTTGCTGTGGACAACTGATAACATTCCCAAGTGGGCCCACCGAGGGCGCCTGACTTCTCAAGCAAGGACAGCCGGAACCCATACAAGTTGTCAGCAGGGGCAGCTGGGCTAGCGAAAACGTCGAGAGTTGTGAAAGCGGCTACAACAACTTCCGCTAAACAGCAACGCAGTTTTCGTAACCGCTGCGGAGGTTCGCAAAAAGAGCAGTGTCGATAGCAACATTTACCTTACCATAAAAGAATCACTTGCAGTGAGTCCCCCTTCCAGAACCCAAGCCTGACTCATCAGGTTTTGCGAATTGTTGCTCTGGGAAGTCAGCATGTACCCCTCAAAATACTGTAGCTAGAGTGCTAGAGAAGCCTGTTGCATCGGCGGAGTTTCATCGCTGACAGGTCGGTCTTGGAACACGACGCTATTCGAATACTTGCTTTCCGGACTAAATCCATACCCTAATCATGCTTGCTTAAATTTGACGAGACACGCCCTTTGCATGCCATTCGTCCACACCAAAATGAGCTCTTGCACGGAAACTACAGCAAACACAGTAGCACCGACGCCTCATGTTCAGAGAGGTGTCCGCCCTGGGAACGGACGATGTCATCAAAGAGGTCGCCCCCCTGACAGTCTTTCGGGCACGCCAACCCAAGTCATGGGCCTGAGACTTGTGTGACGCTGCTCGACAGTAGTTGGAGCAATACATGCATTCTGGAACCTCCACGAGCTCCATGACCAAAAACAACGTCTCTTTTGTCTCAACAACGTCGAAGAGCTGCCTGAAAATGTCAAGGGGCCGCTCCATTTTACGAGCATGGGGCACCTACGGGCAAGCCAACCAACGCCGAAGTGGGCAATGCACTATAGCGCGCTGTGTAGCTCCCAGCATTCAGGGCCTTCAAGTCTAATTACCAATGCATGCAGTGCTTTCAGTATGACTCCTGACCCACTTTGACCTGGAACAAACGTGCAAGGCCCACAGCGCGCAGCAACTCTGAGCAGAACTGACTGTGTGTGCAGTTGCACGCGAAAAAAGAAAGCGAAATGACATGCTACCCAATGCTACCGTCCACCGGTCCCTGCCATGTCCAGAGTCGCCATGCTGGACCATGAGTTAAGGCCTCACCGTCCTTTAGCTATTGTTTCACGTGCCCTTCCAAATGTGGCAGCTTCCAGAAAGATTATTACATGTTACTAGATCTGCGAAGGATAAACTGCACATCTGAGTTGGGGTCTGCTTGGCAGCCTACTCAATCCCTGCAAGCCGGCAAGCCAGGTTTGTTTAGTTTCAAACGCCCAATAGTCGCAGACATGATGTGCATTGCGCCCCCCCTGTGCATCTGACATATTCTTCTGGTGGCTGCCATGTATACAGTCCAAGCCAGCTCTGTCTAACATCCTCATTGGCAAGATACCAAAATGGACCCTTGCACTCACAAAAAGCTGCGCATTCATGTCGTGCCGCAGCTTGTAACAACGAAACCTGTCAATCCTGCCAGTGCTGCACGCAGTACTGAGAATCGCACACGATGTGCGAATGCCGCAGGGAAAACAGGATGTTTGCTTCCGCCTTCCTGGCGAATAAGTAAGCATCACACAAATAAACACATGACCGAAATCAAAGGTGACAATCTACAACTCATCAGTGGCTGCTGAGAATCCAGCAGCTTCTCTTTAGTACCTCAGCATTGCGTGCGCCTGCCCGCAAAAAAACTCAACCGTTGACATGCTACAACACGGAATTCTTTAGTGTATTTGGCACACTGTAGAGAGAACCTTGGGATTCATGCCACTCAGCTGCTGCTACAAGGGACGCCGTGATGCAAAAACACACACCCAGCTAACGCATGAATTAAGCCCTGCTTTTAGAGATGAGGCTGATTGGTTTCCCAAGGTCACGGTCCGCATCGCGCTGAAGCCTGAACTGCTTCTGGAGCTCGATTTTTTTGACTGCAAACTCCTTCGACATGAGCGCACAAACCAAATCGCTGAAGAAACGCGTTGAAGCAACCCAGTTTTTTTGTCTTTGAGAAGAGGTCCATGAAAGCTTGAGGCAGCAGTGGAATGCAGAGAAGGATTCAGGTCGAGCAACAGCTTTCGAATGAAATGCAACTGCAAGCCTTGCTTGAGGGCCTAAAGGGGCTTGGGAGGGGCCACAAGGAAAAGGAGCCCCTCCCCTTTTAATCAATTGTTTGAGGTCATTTTTTGAGAGGGTGACTTGCTATTGATCTATCTTTAGGGAGGGGAAGGGCCCTCTTGCAGACCTTCAGAATTGATTCAACCCTTTCAGAACATGACCTGGAGCCGCATTTTCACCGACCTAGAGACTGTGTCAACGAGTACCACCGCAAGCTCCGTGAGATTTCGTGGCATTGCTGGAACAAGTCGCCTGTCCTCGCCCTTCTGTGGCTTGATACATCGATGCACAGTTCCCTGGCCGCCGCCTCCAAGCTTCCCCAAAACAACGTACCTGCATCATTGAGTGATTCACCCAACGCCGAAAAGTCTCAGGAGCAGAGACCAGACACGACTACGTCTTTATGATTCTCTATGCACGCAATGACACGCAGAGGGAACGGATCTTCGTCTGGACCAAAAAGTCGCTTCTCTGCCTAGTTCATAGTGCAGCACAAGCAAAGCAGCTCTGGTCGTGGAGCCACGTGATGTGCTGTGCCTATCTGGCTCACGATTGCCCCAGCGATTAAAAAAACTACGGACGCGTGACCCAGGTCTCGCACACGGGCTTGGCTGATGAGATCGTCAACGCCAGTCCTGGTCTGACACTTTGAGCACTCGCTCCGCTGATGTCTCGCACCTGGCCTCTCACCTCTCTCGAAAGCTGCTGGCGCCTCAGGTGCAAAGCAGACTGCAACTTGAGTCAACGCAGGCAATCCCGCGATTTCTCCCTGTTGCGGAGGTTTGGCTTTATTTTGCCATAAGGCTGGGCTGGCACGAAACCCCAGAACAGGCACGGTCACATGGAAATAACAGCCATGACAGCCAATCCAAAACCAAAACCCCGAGAAAAAAGGATCATGCCATGGTGCCAGGAAGACTTGAAAACCCGAGGCCAACGAAAGCTAGCCAGGCTCTATCTAGCACTGGAGTAGGGTAGAATAGGAGGAGGGAAGGTACATGCCAGCAAAAAGCACAAACCTCGTGAAGCGGCCCGGACAAAAACCTTTCCAGAACCTTGCCAGCTCGACTTCACTTTGCACTCCACGTTCCTTGCCAGTCACTTTCCACGCCCTTCTCCTCCCCATTTTCACATTCTTCGCGCCACTTTTCACTCCACTGTCCAGTCAACTCTCCACTTTTCTCTGGACTCCACGCTCACTGCAGAGACCACTCCAGTTTCCACTCCACTGTTATTCGCTCTCTGCGTCAGTTCACACTCCACCCTCCACTCCATTTCCATCTCACTGTCCACCTCTTTCCACCGCGCTTCCCCTCACACCTTTCCCTTCCACTCCACTCCATTCCGCAATGGCGCAAACAGCGTAGTCCCTGCTTTTTCTACCAACGTCCAAGAACCAGGACAAGCACGAGGATGGCAAGTCTCACTGTCCCATCATGCGATGAAGACACGACCAGGTATGAGCATGGCGAACCAACGGCGCCCATGCCTGCGACAGAGGGCATGTCTTACACGCGGTGAAGACACGAGGCTCCAAAAGTGGCGACAGATACGAGGATGGCGACCGCAAGGGGTCTCATGCCTGTCACTTTTCACGCGCAACAAAGATGTGACTCTCCAAAAGCGGAGAATGTTACCAAGATTCCAAGATGGCTACCCAAGGCGTAGTATCCCTGTGATTGTTGGCACTCATGAACTTTTCACACGTCACGAAGAAGCAGCGCTTCCCCACCCCGCCCGGCCCCATGCCCCGTGACTGTTTGCACTTCCAACGCGCGACGCAGCAGCGATGGTCCAACATCGGCAATGCTTAGACGGGAATTGCACTTGTGGACGCTTTGCGGACGCTTGCGGACACGTGCGCAATAGTTTGGTCGGCCATGGAGTCCATGATCACAACACTCAAAACAGGGCCCCTTCCGCGGAGCACTCAGAAATAGCAAGGCTGCATGGAAGAACCACACAAGATGTGACTTGTAGCATAGCCACACAACGTCGGGAACACTATCGGGGCAGAGAGGTTTGATTCAACCATGAAGCGTGAACTTACCAGCACTTTGGCCAAAAAGGTGCTACATTAAAAGCGGCAAGATTGAGCAAGATGTCACTCGTACAAAGAGCACGCAAACGAAGCGAACACCAAAACAGGAGGAAGGTGAGATGCAACGACCAGGCATGACGTGCTTGGTACCATGACCATTCAAGGGCATGCACTATCAAAGACAGGGAGCTTCAATACAACCATGGAGCTTAATGTCATTCATACCATGCCCATGCATGGGTAGGTTTAGCGGTTTAGCGAACACTACAGGAGTGGCGAGGTCTCAATGAAGCAAGAAATTGCTTGTTTCAAGACCAGGCAGAGGTATTGAACACAACAGAAGGAGGGAAAGGTGCAATGCAACCACCCGGCATGATGATGCCTGTCGGATAGTGATCACTTCAGACAGGCAGGGAGGTTTGATGCAACGACCAGCACAGTTTACGTGTATGTTCCTGACTTTGCACGGGTTGTGAACATTAAGGGAAGCAAAACCTTTCAAACCCCCAGCATCATGTTATTCGTATTGTGACCTTGCTGGGGTATGGCAAACGACAGAACAAGTAGCGAGGCTTGACGCGACTACCACACCTGCACTGACCATACAACCGTCATGAACCGTGAACGCGACAGGCAGTGTGCAGCCGGGAAGTTAGATTTGACCACCAGAAGCGACGTCCTAGGAGCTCAGGAAAACTGATGGCATTACAACTAAACGACACCATCGGAGGGACATGCAGCACGCTACGATGCACTACGGAACATCCTTTGTTCTCTGCTCTGGTTGGCTGGTTCGACCTCCAGAGCCGGCGGATCCAAACGTGCCGGGTGCTTCTTTAGAACCCGTCCCGTGGAATGCCGGCTCTTTCATTCATTAGCAAGCAGAGACTCTCTTAACCCTTAGGGTGGAGAGGGTGGGTAATCAAAAGCTGAAGCTCGGGCCCTGGCTGCAGTGCCCTACGCTTCACATGTCACTCAGCACATACTGTGCTCCACGACATGCAGCACGCTACGATGCACT